TTCAATACATTTTTATTCAGTGCCTGCTTTGTACCAGGCTGAGAATACTGTGATGAATGAGGAGCCCACAATGTAGTACGGGCCACAGACAAGTAACTGGGCAATCTTACTGCCGTGAGCTCAGTTTTATTATTGGGTGCTTTTGGGGCAGAGAATGGGCTTTTCACCTGATCTTAAAAGATCAAGGAAGGTTTCCTGGAAGAAATGATGTCCAAATCAACCTCACTAATATATTTTGGAATTAATACCTTTTTTAGGTTAATATTGTATTAAAAATGAATCAGAGCCCTGTTTTGTTTTTGCTTTGGGATACCCAGTACCTTTCTATTGAGAGAAAGTTGAGAGGCTGAACTCCATACTTCTGCCATCTGGTATACTTCTCTAGCTTAGGAGTTTGACATTCCCCTGTGTTGATTCACCTCCAGTTCCCAGAACATGCCAGGCTCTTTGTGGCTGCCATGCCTCTGCAAATGCTGTTCCCTTTTGTCTGCCTGCCTGACTTCGCTTGCTCATTCAGGACAGAATGGTTACTTCCTCCAAGATCTTTCCTTGATTCCTCCTGGGGTAGGTTGAATGCACATACTATGAGCTCACACACAGGGCTGGTCTTGATCTTTGTACTTATCCTGCACCAAATAGTCTGTCTGCTTCTTCATTCCTCCTTGTGGCCTGGAGGCAGGGACAGCATCTTTCACAGAGCTTAACATGTCTTAGGGAGCCAGGCAATGTTTGCTGAATGAACAAATTTAGTAGCTTTTGAAGGTTGTAGCCACATGTATGTAATTGAAGCTCTTGATTCTAGCCAGTTTTAAAAGAGAGTGTCATTGAAGAAAGCAGAAGCACTAGCAAAACAGATTTTATGCAAGAGTCTAGTTATTAACCTATAAAGCTCTTTACAATCTTTTGCATTTTATACTTTACTTTTTACTTTTTGTCTGAGTAACCAATAAACTGAGTAATTCATAGTTCCCACTTCTTGCCAACTGCTAATGTGTATCATTAAATCTGACCACAGTGATTTATTAATCAGAAGTCTGTTGGTTATTAACAAAAATCAATTTGACTTAGCATATGCCAGAAAGAGGGGAATATGTGATGAAGAGACATGGGTGTTTCGTAGAATCCAAGATCAGGAACACAACTAGGCTTCAGGGAGAACTGTTCCCAAGAATTGGAATTGTCAGCAGGAATTCTGAGAGTCCTTTCTGTTTATGTCTGCTTCTCTCTGCAAGGCTCTTTTTATTTGTCTTTCATACTAATTGCCTTCTCTGCTTCTTGGTGGATCTCTCTGGATGGCCTCCCATATCCCTCAGCTTTGCAGCCAAGTTTCAGCCATATGGAAAGCCTGTCTATCCATCTCAATTCCACATTCGTCAAGACTTTGGCTTGGCTTAGGTTAGATGTCTGTCCCTAATCCAGTCAGCTGTGGCCATGCTGCACAAAACTGCCTGCCTCTGATGATCTCTGAAAAGTAGGTGGGAAGGTAGAAAAAAGGGTGGGTAGATGACAGACAGGCAGGTGAAAGACATTGTGTCTGGCAGACCCTCTAAAAATATCTAATATAGTGATAAATACTAGACTCATAAACTACTTTACCATAGGATCATTTCTAGGTTATCTTATTCAAAAAAAATTGGTCTTAGATGAAACTTAAGGATTTAACTTTGAAAAAATTGTATTTATCTTTTAAAATACGAATATAATTTGAGATTCTTAAGGTAATGGCATATTCACTTAAGTAGTTATTGGTCTTAGCTTTATGTGTATATATAATATTTCTTATAAACGATATCATCTTCGGTTGCTGGGAGGCAGATTCTAGCAGCTCTGTCCAATTGCAGTATAAAGTAAGCCACATAGGTAATTTAAAGTTTTCTAGTAGCCACATTGAAAAAGTAAAATGAAACTGGTGATATTAATTTTAATGTATTTTATTTAACCCAGTATATCCCAAATATTATAATTTTATGAATATAATGACAAATTTGATGAATTAATGATGAAGAATTTGTCCATTCTTTTTAAATCTTTGAAATCTGGTGTGTAATTTTACATTCCAGCACATCTCAATTTGGACTAGCCACATTTCAAGTGATGAGTAACAATATGTGGCTAGTGTTTACCTACCATATTGGACAGTTCAAGAACTGTCTAAAAGCCATCAGTTTTCTTCTACAGTTTTTCTAAAATTTTCTTGTCAAAATCCTTATTAATGCTTCTGGATCACTCCTTCTAAAAGTGCACTTTATCAGCAACAGCAGAGAACCCTTGGGAGTAGGGGTTTTTAAACCAGCTACACGAGAGTTGCTTATTGGGAGGATTTGCTGTGCTGTGTGGACTGGCAGAAAAGAACACATAATTTTTAACCAGGTCACCAGGCTCTAAAGCTGGTTCTTTTTCTTTTTATTTATTTATTTGACAAGTAATGGGATCGCAACCCTCGGCACGGTGTCGTCCGCACCACGCTCAGCCAGTGAGCGCACCGGCCATCCCTATATAGGATCCCAACCTGCAGCCTCGGCGGTACCAGCACCACACTCTCCCAAGTGAGCCACGGGGCTGGGCCTAAAGCTAGTTCTTACTCTTCCCAGACTTCTGATTCCTGGAGTGTTAAACTCCTAGGAAGCCTCATTTTGCCTATCTAACAATAGGATTTTTAAAATGGTCCTGCTCATTAGAAGAGGTTTTTGTGGGATTTAAATGCATTATTAAATTTGAAGTGCTTTGAAAGGTAAAGGGTTATACAAATGTAAGGCATTATTTTAATTTATGAAGTAGGGGAAAAAACACTACATTTCGGAATCAATAGTAGCTGTCATTTATTGAGGGCTTGCTTTGTGCCAGGCACTGTTCTAAGTGCTTTTACACAAATAACTCAATCATAACAGCAGGATTATTATGGTACTTTTATTATTTCTAAAGAGTTTGGAAACTACTCCAAGGTCACATATCTAGTAAGTAGTTGAGGGGAGTTAGAATGCACATTTTTAAAAAGTTCTGGTGAAATATACACAACATAAAATTTGCCATTGTAACCATTTTTAAGTGTACAGTTCTGTGGCATTACATACATTCATGTTGTTTTCCAACTATCACCACTATCCATCTTCAGAACTTTTTCATCTTCCTCTACTGAAACTCTTTCCCTTTATACATGAACTTCCCATTCCCCCCTCCCTAGCCCCTGGCAACCACCAGTCAACTTTCTATCTCTATGAATTTGACGGCTCTAGGGACCTGATGTAAAAGGAATCATACGGTGTTTTTTTTTTTTTTTTTTTTTTTTTTTTTTTTTTTTTTTTTTTTTTTTTTGGTGGCTGGTTTATTTCACTTTGCTTATATAATGTCTTTAAGGTTCAACCATGTTGTAGCATGTGTCAAAATTTCCTTCTTTTTTAAGACTAAATGATGTTATTCTGTTGCATGTATGTACCACTTTTTGTTTATTGATCCATCTGTGGCTGGACACTTGGATTACTTCTACCTTTTGGCTATTGTCAATAGTGCTGCTATGAACATGAGTGTGCAAATATCTCTTAAAGACCCTGCTTTCAGTTCTTTTGGGTATATACCCAGAAGTGGAATCGCTGGATCATATGGTAATTCTATGTTTAATTTTTTGAGGAACCACTGTATTTTTTTCCATAGTGGCTACATCATTTTACATGCCCATCAGTGATGCAAAACTATAGCAATTTTTTCACATCCTTGCCAACACTTTTCCATATATATATTTTTTAAACAACAGGCATCTTAATGGGTGTGAAGTTGTATCTCATTGTGGTTTTAATTTGCATTTCCCTAATGACTAGTGATGTTGAGCATCTTTTCATCTTATCAGCCATTTGTATATCCTCTTGGAGAAATGGCTGTTCAAGTCTTTTGCCCATTTTTTAATGGAGTTGTTTGGGGTTTTTTGTTGTTATTGAGTTGTAGGAGTTTAAAAAATATATTCTAGGTATGAATTCCTTATCAGATAAATGATTTGTAAATATTTTCTTTCATTCCATGGGATGGCTTTTCACTTTGTTGTTAGTATTCTTTGATGCAAAGAAGTTTTTAATTTTGATAAAGCTCAGTTTATTTATTTTTTCTTTTGATGACTGTGCTTTTGGTGTCATATCCAAAAGTCATTGTCAAAGTCTAATGTCAAGAAGGATGTTTTCTTCTAAGAGTTTTTTTTTTTTGTGACCGGTAAGGGGATTGCAACCCTTGGTGTGGTGTCGCCCACACCACGCTCAGCCAGTGAGCGCACCGGCCATTCCTATATAGGATCCGAACCCGCGGCGCGAGTGTTGCTGCACTCCCAGCGCCGCAATCTCCTGAGTGCGCCACGAGCTCGGCCCTCTTCTAAGAGTTTTATTTCTGCCTCTGTCTGTGCCTCCTGTCTGTGTCGATTTGCATCTGTCTCTGTACATTTGTATCTGTCTTTTGTGTCTGTCTCTGTCTTTCTATATATTATAAACCACTGAAGCTTATAAATGCATTGTCTTTATTTTCTTGTCTTGTTTCTTCCTTTTTCTTTTTTTGTAATTGGACTGTTTGAAAGTATTGCAGACATATGACACTGCATGCACCTCCTAAAAATAATGACATTTTTCTTTTCTTCTGTTTTTAAGGGAAAGTGTGAATAATGATGTTTTCTAAATAACTACAGTCCTATTATCAGTACTGCTTTTAGAATTGGGCATGGGCCCCTGCCTTGTGATTTCTACTCTGGAGTGCCTTTCTTAAAATTTTCTAGGTCTCCTCCCCATCCCAATGCCTGAAAGGCAGGGTACCCCATGGTCTTCTCTTTTAGAAATCTCATATTAGGAATTATAGTAAGTTTCCTAATTTATTGAAAATTGAAACTTAGCTTTATGTGCTGATTTTATTGTTTACTACTGTGTACCATATTTTTCTTATAAATTTTTTTCTCTTATTTTTATATATTCTTTTAACTGGTTAGTGTGTATATATTTAGTATTTTATTAATTACCTTTCTTCTGTCTCTCCAGTACTGAGCTGAAACTCTTGGAGGAGGCAACCATTTCAGTCTGCAGGTCTTTAGGTAAGGGGGAAGTGTGTGTGGGGGAGGGGGGCATTTTTTTTCAAATTTTGTTATAAATTTTGATAGTATAACATGAATTGATGAAGTGATGTATTCTTCTTGATGGTGATGGTAACAAAAGTAATAACAATTATTTTTATTCATGGTGCTCCCTGATGCTACCAGAAGATACCATTCAGTCAGTAGTAATAAGACACATAGTTGCCTATATTTGCAGTAGTGGTAATGGACTCTCCTAAGCCATAGATACTCTTTCAGCTTGTTCTTGTGAATTTTGAAATATTGAGAAAAATAAAAATATTAAGTTAGTTTTATAATTGCATGAATAGTTCATGTAGAATATAGGACCCTTTGTCTTGTGATTTGCCAACTTCCCTGACTATATGTGTGCTGTTGTTGGCTATGTTAACTAAAATAACTATTACTCATTAAAATGCATTGTGAATACACAAAGGTATTTCAAAAAGTCATGGAAAAATAGAATTAAAATATGTATGAATCTTGGGCCGGCCCAGTGGCGCACTGCTACAGTGCGCTGCTTGGGAAGTGCGGCGGCGCTCCCGCCGAGGGTTCGGATCCCACGTGCGGACCGGCCGCTCACTGGCTGAGCGAGGAGCGGGGGCAACGCTGGGGGTTGCGATCCCGTTGCTGGTCTCGGTCCGGTACGGGCGCGGCACTGAGGGTTGCGATCCGTTGCCGGTCACGAAAAAAGACCAAAAAAAAAAAAAAATATGTATGAATCTTACGATTAACTTTCTGAAGTACCCTTGTGTATTGAGGCTTCTCTGTAACAACTTGATGTTTAAGAAAGAGCATGGGATCTGGAATTGTTTTATGATTTTAATTTCAGTTCTACTACTTATTAGCTTTGCCTTACTTTCCATCTAAATTGAGGCTAAGAACAACTATTTTATAGGATTCCTGGAAGGAAAAAAATTAGATGACATGAAATATCTAGTATAATGTGTAGTATCTGGTCATCATTCACCATTTATATCAACAGATATTACATTTTTCAGGCCTTGTTTCCAAATGCTTTACTTTCAAGTTGGTAGCAATTGGAAAGGAATGTATATGCTTTTAAAAATGCAGATAATTGTACTTATATTGCATTGTTGCTTTGAAAATTAGAAATAATGTGTCTGTATACAGGAGCTTAATAAGTGATAACAATATTCTATTTTAAAATCAAGCTATATGGATAAACTCCACATAAGCTATATGGGTGACTCCCATATAAGTTATTTTGCTAGAAACAGTCTTTGATGAAATACTTTTGTGGTTTTTTGTTTTTTTTTTCCTTTTTGTCTTTTTTACTGACCGGTAACGGGATCGCAACCCTCGGTGTTGCGCCCGCACCGTGCTCAGCCAGTGAGTGGGAACTGGTCTCCACATGGGATCTGAACCCTCGGCGGGAGCGCCGCCACACTCCCAAGCGGCGCACTCTCCAGTGCGCCACCGGGCCAGCCCGAAATACTTTTGTTTTTAAAAACAAATTATGTTGGTAGTGATAGAGGTGTTATTGTAGTAGTTGGCTTGAATTATAACCATAAATTGGAGAATTTTGTGCTAAATAGAGCTGACTTTCAAAAACCATGTGGCAGTTTAATACTGAAAGTAAAATAGTTTTACATAACAGTGACGTTAATGCAGCTATTGTGATGATGGCTTTTAAGGTGACCTTGGGCTGTTATAAAAATTACATTTTAAAAATTGAAAGTAGTATTTAGTAATTATATGTAATATGGAAAGCATACTAAAATGAAAAAAGGCAGTACTTGCTCATAATTCTACAACCCTGACATAGTCATTGTTAATATTTTTGTGTATTGTCTTCTATTTATTCCATGGGTATACACTTACATATATATCATCCACCATACACACACACACAAATTATTTTAATCTGTGTTTTTCACTTGACATTATATTAGGAGTGTGTTATTATATATTTAAAAAATACTTTTGGCAACAGCAAAAAAGATACACGTTTATTGCCAAAAATTCCAACAGTACAGTGGTTGGACTAAAATAAAAATTGTCCTGTGTTGAATAACACAGAAATTACCAAAGCTAGTCTTGCATGACAAAATCTTTTCAGAGCATTCTATGTATAATGATTTATATGCACAATTTTATATAAGTGGTATTATTTCCATGTTATTTTTTTGGTAGTATGTCAAGAACTTTTTTTCATGTTAATAAATATAAATGTCTGTCAACTTTAAGGGCTACAAGGATGTGCTTAGTTTCCTTTTATTAAAATTTTTTTTTCAAGCGCCTATTTACTGGCAACAGTTCTCTTTTTTTTTTGTTTGAAAATGTCTTTATTTTTTTCTTCACTTTTGAAGGATATGTTTGCTGGGTGTAGAATTCTAGGTTAATTAATTTTTTTTCTGTGTTTTATTTTTTTTTTAATTTTATTTTTTGTTGGCTAGCCAGTATGGGGATCCGAACCCTTGACCTTGGTATTATAACACTGTGCTCTCACCAATTTCTTTTCCATACTTTAAAGGTGTCATTCCATTAGTTTCTGGTTTCTCTTGTTTTTGTTGAGAGGAAAACTGTCAATCTTATTTTTGCTTATTTGAAAATAATAGATTTTTTTTCTTCTGGGAGCTTTTAAGTTTTTCTCTTTGTCCTTTGATTTTCAGCAGTCTTAGAATGACGTGCTGAGGAGAGATTTTCTTTATTTTTTGCTGCTTGAGGTTTATAGAGCTTCTTAAATCTGTGGGTTGATGATGTCTTTGATCAGTATTGGAAAATGCTGAGCCAGTTTCTGTGTATGTATTATTTCTGTCCTATTCTGGGTCTCCTTTCCTTCTGAGACTTCTGTTATACTTCTGTTAAATGTTTTCATTGTGTCACATATCCCTTTAAGGCTCTTTTTTTGTATTTTATGTTCTTTTTTCTCTCTGACCTTCAATAGGATATTTTCTATTAACCTATCTTTAGTTTATTAAATGTTTTCTTCTGGTATGTCTCATCTGCTATTAAATCTATCTATTGAGATTTTTAAAACAAACTTAATTTTAGAATAGCTGTAGATTTACAGAAAAGTTACAAAACTGGTGTAGAGAGATCCTGTATACCACTCACCCACCTGTTTCCCCTATTGTTAACATCTTTCTTTAGTATGGTACATTTGTCACAACTAAGGAATCAACATTAGTATTAAGTATTAACCAAACTGCACCCTTTATCCAATTCACTAGTTTTCTTCTAATGTCCCTTTTCTGTTCCAGGATCCTGCTCAGGATACCACATGACATTTAGTTGTCATGTCTCCTTAGCCTTCTCTGATCTGTAAGAGTTTCTCAGAATTTCTTCATTTTTGATGATTTTTAGAGTTTTAAGGGGTACTGGTAGGGTAATGTCCAGAATATCCCTCAATTTGAGTTTGTCTGATATTTTTGTCATGGTTAGACTGGGGTTATGGGTTTGTGGGAGGAAATCACACTCTAATCAGCTGAGCTAACCTGCCAGCCCTATTTTTTTTTTTTTAATTTTTATTATTTTTGATTTTTTGGTGACTGGCTGATACGGGGATCCAAATCCTTGACCTTGGTGTTACCAACACTACACTATAATGACTGTTTTGTTTTTTAAATAGCTAACCATTTATAAATTCAAACGATTACTTATAAAGTCACTTAGTACTAAAGGGGCTGTCGAATGAACAGAGTTTGAAGTTGAGAGTCTGAATGATGGTTTTAGTCGTATCAGCCTCAGCTTACTTTGTTTTAGTGTTTTGTTTTGATTTACAATAGCTAGGTAATATTAAGTCCCACAGAGATGCGCTTATAAACGTTAACTTTACTTTTTTTTTTTTTTATGACAGTTTATCCTGAAATCTCAGGGTATTTCGTTAAACTAAAATCAAAGCTTGAAAGAGGATTACAAAATTTCGGTTTCAAAGTGAAACTCTCACAATATCTTATATCTAATCACATATCTATTCTTGATTATGAACGCTGTACAAAAACTTCCCTCACAGAAATGTTTCACCTTGCTACTCAGTGGGGTTCTCTAACCAGCAGCAGTGGGCACCACCTGGGAGACTGTTAGAGATGCAGAATCTCAGGTCACACTACACACATTTGGAATCAAAATTTGCAGTTTAATAAGAATGCCGTATGATTTAAATGTACATTAAACTTTTAGATGCACTGTCAACCTCAGTAGGTGTAGAGTGCATCTGGGATTCTGGAATTCCAACAAGCTCCCAGATAATGCTATTCCTGCTAGTCCCTGACCCACACTTGGAATAGCAAGGTGCTACAACATTTCATCAAAATGAGAACGTTAAGCAGTTACTTGCATTGACTCTTAAGCTGTGACAACATATTTCCAGCAGGTAGATATTGAGTTATGCAGGTATGCTCTAATGGTGTACTTATCCCCATGTATTTTTTAAAGTATATACAAGAATTTTTTTTTTTTTCCTTTTTGACTTTTTCCTTGTCCGGCAACGGATCGCAACCCTCAGTGTCGCGCCCGTACCGGACCGGGACCGGCAATGGGATCGCAACCCTCGGTGTTGCGCCCTCATCTCGCTCAGCCAGCGAGCGGGAACCGGTCTGTATGTGGGATCCGAACCCTTGGTGGGAGCGCCGCCGCGCTCTCAAGCGGCGCACTGTAGCAGTGCGCCACCGGGCCGGCCCTACAAGAATATTTTTATTTTATTTTATTTTATTTTTATTTTTTTTCAAAAGATGACCGGTAAGGGGATCTTAACCCTTGACTTGGTGTTGTCAGCACCACGCTCAGCCAGCGAGCCAACCGGCCATCCCTATATGGGATCTGAACCCGGGGCCTTGGTGTTATCAGCACCACACTCTCCCGAGTGAGCCACGGGCTGGCCCTACAAAGATATTTTTAAAAGTTCATGGAAAGATTTGTATTACCTTTTAATTTTGTTTTTCCATGATCTTTTTGAAGTGCCCTCGTATGTGTGGACCTGGATTTAAAAAAAAAAAAAAAAAATTCTCGCGAACTCTGTCTTTCCAAATATTTGACACAATTCAAGAAGTTCAAATATATGCATAATTCTGAGATCTGCATAAAAATGATTTCTCCTGGCAGCACAGGTTCATGTGTTTGAGTGTTTGCATTTCTGGTTTTCATTTGAAGTGCCCTCGTATGTGTGGACCTGGATTTAAAAAAAAAAAAGAAAAATTCTCGCGAACTCTGTCTTTCCAAATATTTGACACAATTCAAGAAGTTCAAATATATGCATAATTCTGAGATCTGCATAAAAATGATTTCTCCTGGCAGCACAGGTTCATGTGTTTGAGTGTTTGCATTTCTGGTTTTCAAAATAGTTGAAAATATACATCAAAGAGAAACAAATATCTAGAACTCTGGAATCTCACATTTTGAAAACTGTTGATAAGGAGTAACAACTGCACTTGTCACTAACATGTTGATTTTGGGCCCAACACTACCTTTCTGAGCCTCTGTCATCTTTAGTGAAATTAAATCTTCTGACTTAAGAGTCTCTCCCTTCTGATAGATTTTTAACTTCCGTGCTTCTATGACTTGCTCTGTAACCTAATAGAACTTTATAGTTTCTTTCTTTTTTTTTTTTAAAAGATGACCGGTAAGGGGATCATAGCCCTTGACTTGGTGTTGTCAGCACCATGCCCACCCGATGAGCTAACTGGCCATCCCTATATGGGATCCGAACCCGTGGCTTTGGTGTTGTCAGCACCACACTCTCCCAAGTGAGCCACGGGCCAGCCCAGAACTTTATAGTTTCATTAAGCCCAATTCCTTGGTTATAGAGGTTGGTGTAACAGCAGTCTAGAACCAAGGATTTAAGCCAGTAGATAAGCATGTGTCTGCCCTTAAGCAAGTAACAACCCACAGGTGAGGATCTGTAAAGTGGAAGTAATATTGGTGCTTATCCCGTGGGGTTGTTGTGAGCATTAGATAAGATAATACATGTAAAGCACTTAGTGTGTATTGTTCAATATATGTTAGCTGTTTCTTTTACAGATGAGAAGACTGAGGTTGGAGAAGTAAAGTGATTTGTCTGAGGTTTGATATCTAGTTATTTATAGACCTGGATCTAGAAACTAGGTCTTCTATTCCCAGTATAGTATTCTCTCAATTCTTTAGGCTGGCTTTGCTGAAATGCCAATCTTTTAAATTAAAAAAATTTTTTTAAACAAATTCTTTAAAATTTTATCTTACAAATAGTTCCCCCTTTAGCCACATTGCTTTGTTTGTGTATTTTTATTTTTCATTAGAATGATTTGTGATGATCTGAATAGAGTTTTGCTTTTATGATTTATTACATTCTTATATTGGGCATATTGATATCAATTTTCCAGTTTTTTTTTGAATATCTGCTTTTCTAAAGAGAAAGATATATATGTGTAAATTGCACATATCTATTAGTTTTTTACAATTTTTAAAAAATAATCTGCGATGAGATGGCTACTTTCTTCTACTGTTTCTATCATTTTCATTTTGCAAATCATTTTTTTTTTTTTTTTTTTAAAGATGACCGGTAAGGGGATCTTAACCCTTGACTTGGTGTTGTCAGCACCACGCTCAGCCAGTGAGCGAACCGGCCATCCCTATATGGGATCCAAACCCGGGGCCTTGGTGCCATCAGCACCGCACTCTCCCGAGTGAGCCACGGGCCGGCCCTGCAAATCATTTTTTTATGTTCACAGTTTCTCTCATTGCTTATTTCCCTAATTCTGTGTGAAATTGGCAATAAGGTTGGTCGATGAGCAATTTCAATTTGACATTTGGTTTTAGAAATGTTATGATATGCTCATTTTGGTTTCAGTTCTTAACTTTTTAAAACCTTTTCTTCTCTTGCAGTTGAAAACAATCCTCGAACAGGAAATCTTGGTGCACTAATTAAGGTCTTCCTTTCTAGAACCAAAGAACTAAAACTTTCAGCAGAATGTCAGAAGTAAGCTGGCTGATTAAATCATTTTTGCTTTATGTGTAACAATATGAATATTATTTCTTATTTATTGGTGGAAATAGACTGTGGTGTTTTGAAAACCCTTGTAAAGGAATTATTCTCATTATTAAGGGAAAAAGGTAAAAGAGAGAGGTTTTAGTTTAGTGTCTGAGTCATTGGGGTGAGATTATAAATTCCAGAATCTGTTTGATTTCAGCATTTTAGATAATCTTTAGAAATATATTAAGAAGACTAATAGTGATGCAATCATCACTAAAAAAAAGTAATTTCTCCCATTATCACTGCTGATATATGTAGTTGAAATAATGACTTCGTTTGGGTATCATTTCATTCCATATCGGTTGCCTTTATTTTTATTTATTTATTTATTTTTATTGAAACATAATTGATAATATATATTCATGTGTACAGAGTTGATTATTAATACTGTATGATGATCAAATCAGGATAATTAGCATATTCATCATTACAATACATAATCATTCTTTATGTCCATTAGCCAATTTCTCACTTCCCCCCCTCTATTTCCTTTATTTTCTTCACATGTTAGATTCAATGGAAGATTAACCTTTTATGCATTCAAGCATTTTTTAAAACCATTTTTTGGATGGCAGTCTTTTAAAAGATTATTCATTGTCTTGCTTCTAAACAAATTATATTGAATCCAGTTAAAATTTTTCTTGCGAGTTCATGGTCATCAACAATAAATAGCAAGTACTGTGCTGATGGTAATGCCTCATTTAAAATTTTGATTACATATTTGTATATATTCTCTTTATCTTATCATATTTTTGGATTTTTCAGCTTTCTTTTAATTGCCTTTATGTGGGACAACTATAGAGTTAAGAATGAAGAGCAGTCATGTCTACAGGCATCAATAAGTATTTTTATTAAGTCGACTCACTAAGTAGAATACACAGAGTGAAATATGAAGTAAGATGTAATAGATATCACTGGTCCAATGGAATCATGAGCCATTGAAAGATATGGACATTGTTCTAATATTACAAATAGGATGGGCAAAATGGTTGACAAATCATGAAGTAATCATGGTCTAGAAATAGACTTATTGCACTTGTGGTTAAGTATTGATTCTTGTGTGATTTTGGTTTTTTCTCTCTAGCCACATCTTTATTTGGCAGACTCACAATGCTTTGTTTATTATTTGCTGTTTGCTGAAAGTGTTCATCTGTGAGATGTCAGAAGAAGAGTTACAACTTCATTTTACTTATGAAGAAAAATCTCCTGGCAGTTACTGTAAGTATTGCCTTTGTAGATGTTCTGAGTATAGCATGTGTAACATATAAGGATAAATTTGAGGAATAAAAGTGTAATTTTTTTCTTTTTCTTTCTTTTTTTTTTGTCAGCTGGCCAGTAAGGGGATCTGAACCCTTGACCTTGGTGTTATCAACACCATGCTCTCTTCAATGAGCTAACCAGCCAGTCCTTAAAAGTGTAGTTTTTAGAACGCTAGTTTTTCTATTACAATTTTCATTTTTAAATGACCTGACACTGTTACTTTCTTTTCCTGTATTAATTTAAATGAGCCAAGACTCTCAAAGTTTTTTTTTTTTCTCGTTTTTAATAATAAAGCCAGTAGGATCAAGGGTTTTTACTTATTTTGACTTCCATGCATGTGGAAGAAGGAAGTAAAATAAAAATACAACATTCCTTTTAAAAACAGGTGTCAATTTTAAATTGACAGCACAGTACATTATTAAGGGAGACTGCTAATCAGAATTACAGATTTTATGTTTGTGGGGAAAATAGAATAATGTAGTCAGGCTCCTCGACTCAGGTCCGTTTAGGGGTGGTGCAGCACATTTCTTGTAAACAAGTTGTGTGTGGGTGGAGTTAGTGCCATTGCGCCAATGTATCTTTTTAGTTTTGTTGCTATTGTGTGCTCTTCAGTTTGTGAAGCAGAAGCTGGCCTGTAGAGCTTGCATCTAAAAATAGAGCATGTTTACTTTGCTGGCAGCTGCTCAGTTTTTCTTTGGACTTTGCCAGTAGCATTTGAGTTTCTGAGTTTCTCTTTGTACTGCCTAGCTCTTAGATGTGTGTATGCTGAATAAAGACTATTATCTCGGGGCCGGCCCAGTGGCGCAATGGATAGTGCGCCGCTTGGGAAGCGCGGCGGCGCTCCCGCCCGAGGGTTCGGATCCCACATACAGACCGGTTCCCGCTCGCTGGCTGAGCGAGGCGCGGGAGCAACGCCGAGGCTTGCAATCCCGTTGCCGGTCCCCGGTCCGGTACGGGGGCAACACTGAGGGTTGCAATCCGTTGCCGGACACGGAAAAAAGACAAAAAAAAAAAAAGACTATTATCTCTTCAACCAAGGCTCAAAGGACTTTTTTCCTATTACCTAGCTCACAGACCTGTGTGTGAAGGGTTTGTGAACAGGCTCGAGGGGTCTGTGAGCTCCAGACCCTAGCACTACCTCTACAATGTTGAAGGTTACTTTTTTATAGGACATAATGTCAATGTCTGAGTCTGGGTATCTTTGGGACTGCTTTATCAGAAATAACATTTTCAAGGACAGTTTTATAATGCTGGTCTCGTCTTTTTCTGAAGATACAGAGAAAGGTTACCTTTTTCTCCTGATTTTGCTGAGATTTTATTTTTATTTTTATTTTTTTGCCAGCAGTTAGGAGGGCCTATAGTTTTCAATTTCAAATGCCGATGTTTCATTTCTTAGTGTTGAAACTTGTAACCTGTAAAGTCAAAGAGTAAAACAGGATTATTAACAAATGAAATACGGGGAATGCAATGTTTTGCATTTACCCATTATGCTAACTTCCCTTTCTGAGGGCAGAGGCAGTGTCACTCCTCAGTTTTCTGAGTTTTATTTTCAGAATACATCTTTGCTCTCATAAGATTGACAGGGATCTAATATTTGATTCGGGGTCAAATGTTGTCAATTCCTAGAGAAGAGGGGGTGTTGGAAGAACTTAGTAATGTTTATACTTTTAATTGTGGCCTGTGTGCTGTGTGGGTTTCATGCATGTATATAGTTGCACTTACTTTCATACACCTAAGAGTAATTCTTTCTCTACTGAATGTTAATACCTGTTTTTAAGTGTCAAATTCAAACCTTGGCAAAGGGAAACAAACACATAAAGGATTTACTGTCCACCCAGGTCAGAATCACAATGTACCAATTTTTCGGTATATCCATGTCCACTTGTGAAACATTTCTTTAATTCTAGAATTTTTAAAAACAGTGTGTGGGAAGGTAAAAAATATTCTGTGGAAAGCTAACCTTTTATGCACTCAAGCACTTTTTTTTTTGTTTTGGCAGCTGGCCAGTAGGGGGATCTGAATGCAAGCACTTCTTAAAACACTTTTTCTTTTTTTTTTTTTTAAAAAAACAGCTGGTCAGTCCAGGGAACTGAACCTGTGACCTTGGTATTACAAGGCTGTGCTCTAACCAACTGAGCTAACTGGCCAGCCTTAAAACACTTTTTAAGTGGCAAAAATCTTACAGAAATTCTGGTTATTATCATTTAAATATACTAAGGGATTATGTTACATTTCAAACAAATGAAATCACACACTACAACAAAATACTAGTTTACTTCTAACTCAAGATGGTAGAATGACCGTGTACATTTAGCTCTTCTCTCTTCTGAGATCCTCATACTATGAGACAACTTAGGACAGTCCTTTTTTTAGGCTCCTTATGGCTTCTTTAAAGATCACGAAACAGTTTTGGGGAAATAGAATTTAAATTTCTGTTTTACTGTAATCTTTTTCTCCATTCTCATTCTCAGTGTATTTCCATGTTAGAGAAGGACATCCTTCTTGACCCACACTTTGACAATATGATTTTATAGTCTAATGACTTAACATCATTTCTATGTCTGGCCACCTTGATAGTCTTTTTGTAGGTTCGTAAAAATCTCACTAAGTGCTTCTGCAGGTTTGGAGGAAACTGAAAGGTGGCAAATATCATAGGGAAGGAAATCACTTTCCTTGTAGCCGTGCAGTATACAAAGTGTGTGGGACATTTAGCTGGCAAGAGCTTTCCATTTTTTTGCTAAGAAGTTTGTAGATTGAATGGAATTCGCCTGAATTTACATATGTTCTCCCAAGTATGGGGGTAGATGAGCAAAGTCCAGTTTGTGTTTAAATGAGGTATCAGCAATCTAATGTTTTATGTTTTCTGCTTAATTTATGCGGAAAATTTTTCTTTTCCTCCCGTGATACTGACTAAATATGGGTTAAGTTTATGTGTCTTTATTTATCTTTATTTAAGTTTATTCCTTAACAGTCTGCTGAATTAAAAATGTCAAAATTAAGTTTATTTCTTAAGTGCTCTAAAGTTTCTTTCCAAACAAATGATGTAGTTGGCTGGTTGCAGGGAAGCTAAATCATGATGTTCTACTCTTCTTTTAAAGCTATTATCCTTCATTTCAGAGATAAAATGTGATTTCATTGAATAAAATAAGCATATTAATATTAATTTTAGAAGTTTTATTTTTTATTATCCCTTTTGTTCTACAAGACCTATTGATGGAAAATCATTCATTGTTTTGCCCAGTTTTGAGTTAGTATAAATTGCTACCTCATTAGCTTGGTGGGATGGGGGAGGGAAAGAGAGAGAGAGAGAGAGATTGTTTTGCCCAGTTTTGAGTTAGTATAAATTGCTACCTCATTAGCTTGGTGGGATGGGGGAGAGAAAGAGAGAGAGAGAGAGAGAGAGAGAGAGAGAGATGTAGAGAGATATGTAGATACTGTACTAAAATTCTCTTTGATGCTGTTAAAAAAATGTTAACATTTCAAATAATATGCCATGTTATAATTTATGAAGTAATGAGTGAGTTCCTGTAAAGAGTGAGTAAAATGACGATGAGCATAGGTAATTTTTTTTTGTTTTAAGCCAAAGGCAGATATAGATAGGAGTGTGTATGTGTATATGTTTTATGTCTTTTCCTCCTTCCCATTTTATAACTGCGAGAGCCCCAGGTATTTGGGGGCTGCTGCATGTGTATTTTCCTTGGATGAAAATGCTTGCTTTGTCTGCTTCTCAGGGGAAGTGACTCTGTGGTTCCATTATAGAAAATTTTTTTTCTTTTTCTTTTGTTTTCTTTCTTTTTAGATAAAATTTTCTTTCTTGCATTTTGTGCTGTCCTCTTCTAGCTGTACCTTTCAGATTCTGCTTGAAGGAAACAGGCAGCCACATTTTATAGAAGGTCTATCAGGCTACCTTGGAAAAGGGATATGAGGCATGGGAAGCAAACTGAACCCTCCATGTTTAGAGACTGAGCATTTGTCATTTCACCAAAACTTATTTCAATAACAAAAGGCATTTTTGGCTCCACATTTGATTACTGGTATTGAAAAAACTGGGATTTCTTCTTTTTTCCCCCTAAACTGATCACAGGCAAAATACATTTCCTATCTTTCTCTCTCGCTCTTAAGAAGGAAAGGAACATAATAAAGTCAAGACGTTCTGAGTTACTTTTGAGTATGGCTAGATTTTTCCGCTAGTCTTGATCCTCTTTCTGGATCAGCTGTTACATTCTCTAACATACCATGTAACTGTATGTGATGGTCACAGACTTAATCAAGGATTTTGAAAAAATTAACTACGTTGGTGTATGAGAAATTCTGCAGAATTTTGGTCTCTTGAGTGTTAAGAACTTTGTTTATTCTAGGAGGGAATGTTTGTGAGAATTATGTAGAATTAAATTAATTTAATGTAACTATATCCAAACCACTCCATCATCTTTCACAATTATTGTTTATCATTCAGCATTGATTTTCAGAGCTTGTACTTTATACATTGATTTTGAGTTTTAAGAGATGAATGTGTTTAATTTACTATTTTGATAATTAGCACAGTATTTTTATTTTAACATAAAATTATTTTTTATTACTTACCATTGAGTAAATTGATGCAGTTGAGAGATATTCTGTATTTATTTTGAGGCCAAATATCCTCCCAGAATGCCCTCTTTGCCTTTGCACCCCCCACTCTTATCTAAGCTTGAGAAACATGGGGTTGTTTAATACATCCTAGGTAACCTGTAATGTAGGGACAGTGTAAAAGTGACACTTAAAATTCAACAATAGACCACATGATGAAGATGGTTATTACACTGAAAGAGCCTTCTGTGTGGTCTGATGATTGGTGATTCTGTTCAGGTACTGACAGACCGTCCCCTTCTTTTGTTTGTAGTTAGCAAATCAGGATTTTATACATGCTCGTTAATGTTGTTCTTTTCCTTTTTTTTTTTTTCCCAGCTGGCTGGTATGGGGATCCGAACCCTTGACCTTGATGTTTCCAACACCACACCAAGTGCACTAACTGGCCAGCCCTGTTCCTTTCATTTATAATTGAGCCTACTGTTTATCCACCAACTTAAGTCCAGTGAACATCTTTTTAACATTAAAGACTTTTGGCATAGTAATTATTTTTATCTTAGTCTTACATGTTAGTTTCAGATTTCTACTTCTCACTATTTGAACTCTTTATATTCTCTACCAATCTTTTTTTTTTTTTTTTTACAGTTTATAAAAGTGCAATAAAATTAAATGATTACACAGATGCTGCTGAATGGAACTTCACTAAGCAATAGCTGAAAACATCCATCTATCAACTGACACATGAATATCTGAATTAGGTGTCTGAAAGACTGGTGGTAGATAATATACAGTAGTACAGGTTGTTTGAAGGTTGAATTTACAAAACTAGAGGATCATTTGCAAACAATTGAGCAAAGTTGGAGGCATCTTAGGCATGTTGGCTTATTATAGCATACAACATTTTTTTCCTTATTCCAATCCATTGTAATACTGCTGGGATCACATAGATATTGCTGGTATTTTTAGTGAAGCAGTCTTTGGGAGAGTAATGTGACTATCAGTAAGCTCTCAGTTTGTAATCTAAATTTGTGAAGATTTTGTGTTTGAGCATTTCCCAAAGGCTATGAATGATGTGGTAGCAGATTGTTAGAGAGAATTTGTATCATTACATGAAGATAGCTCTTTCCACTATTCCATGCCTGTAAGAATTAGTCAAAGGGGACAACACCTGCCCTAGGCAAAACTGTGAAGTACGACAAAATTGTTTTCATTTTCCTTTTGCCTTCAGTGTGAGTTTTCCTCTTCTTGGTATTATGCCCCATTTTGCCAAGGCAATACTGATATTTATTTTATATAAATTCAATATTTTAAGGCCTTAGAGGTCTAAATCTGTTGTTTGTTTCTGCAAATTTCCTTATGTATTTGATGATGTTGATTATATTTATTTGGTTTAAATCTGAAGCCCCAAATAAGGGAGGGATTTGTATTTGCTTCCAAAGGGATCCAGGGGCTGTGTCACCTGATGCCACTTTAGCCCCCTTCAGTGGTTCTTGACTTAATGTTTCAAGTTCAAATTCCCTTCCTGGCCACTGAGTCTCCCAGTAGTAGGCTTCATTCATATTGGCATTTGTCCTCAGGACCACCCTTCCTTAGAGTTTGTTTACTGCTCAGTGTTTTACTCTGGATTCAGATCAGTGGTTGTTCTTTTTGGTTATGGTGTTGGGGGTCGTCAGAGATTTCATTTACTCTCTGGAAGTCCATCAGTGCACTAAAAATTGTTATTTTAACCAAGAACTTGTTGTTTTGTACAAGTGGGCTCAATGGAGTAACTATTTCACCAGACTGCTGCCAGTGGAAGGCAATTATAGTTTCTTTACAAATTCATTGTTGTTTATTTTTTAAATAAGGGAAGAAGCCTTTGGAAATTGAGAGACTGAAGATAGAAGCTGCAGAGGGGGAGGAAATGCTGAAAAGAGGGTCCAAGGAAGTAGGAGGAGCTGGGATGAAGAGCACAGCAGGGAGTATAGGCTTGCCAGATCCTGGACGAGCCCCCAAAATATGTAAGATTTGGGCTAAAACCCAATCTCACATAGAAGGGGAAGACTCGGGGCCGGCCCGTGGCTCACTCGGGAGAGTGCGGTGCTGATAACACCAAGGCCCCGGGTTCGGATCCCATATAGGGATGGCCGGTTGGCTCACTGGCTGGAGGTTTATTATTTCCAATGCGTTGGGATCTCACCGCCAAGCTGGGGTGAGACCCCGTTAGGCTCTTTAGCTGTCTTTTTATACATTTTTCTGGGGCAACTTTTCTGGCGGCCAGGAGACAAAGCAGTAAGCAGTGCTTATTGGCTAACTTAAGTGACCTTAAAACTTATTGGCACCCATCTGGTTCTAGGTGATTTCCCCTCTGACTTTTTTACTTGTAAACATCTCGCCATCTGCTGGTTTGGCTTAGCTATGAGGAGACATAAAATCAGCTGAATACTTCTGCACCTCATAGCTCCATGGTTACAAGCCTGCGCCTGTGTTAACAAGAAAACCACAGGCTGTCAGCTCTGAGCTTTTCCTGTGTAGAAGAGAAGTAGGCCAGCTCTCAGAGACCCCTCCTCAGGCAACCACACTTCTTGCCCCACTTACCCAGGTGTGATAAGACCCCTACTCAGAGGTCCCTTTGAAAACATGTTTATGTGGAAAGTTCTATGCTCTGCTGTAACCTACATTTCTCAGCTCTTGCAACCAGCTGTGCTCACGGCCGCAGAACATCCTGTGTGTGTCTAGCAGGTCCTGGGGGGGGGGGGGGCAAAGTGTGTCTTGCTGTAATAGCTTTTAAGATGGCTTCACTGTTGCTAAGTTAGAGCAAGCTCGTTCACAGAAGCAGATTGCGCAAGTTAGTAGTTTTCACTTTGAGAGAGACTACCTCTTGCGCCTGGTGGCTGCTCTGGGCACGGAGGGGAGGAAGGAGGCAGATCATCTGCCATGAGCTGGGGAGAACAAGGTATGTGGGCCTGAGAAGCTTGGTAACCAGTTAATGCAGCACTGTGGAGAGCAGAAAAGAGACCAGGGACGTGACAAGTACAAGTAAAAGGTTTGCTTAACTGCATTTCCCATTTCCTTGGCATAAAATAGTTCAATGTGTATTTATTTTAAAAAATTGTTTATATTGTAGGACTCACTCCTAGCATAGTGAATTAAACATATATGTTTATCTATGCTTTCTCCTGAAACTCCAAAAAAATCAGCAAAGGAACTTTAAAAAGTCACATACTTATTAGGTTAAAGAGAAGGAGAGAGGAACACATTGTTAATAACATTTTGGAAGTTATGTGTTGAGAAATGATGAGCTTAACTAATCAGTGAAAACTGAAAGCTAAATGCCTTCAGGGTCGAATTCCATAAAAAAGCCAATTATGCCCCAGAAACCTGAAAAGGCTTAGGAATTGGAAGTGCCAGGTGTCTTTGAAGGTAAACATCTGGGGTTGGTTGAAAGCAGTTAGATGCCAAGATTCTCTCCCCTGCCAGTCAGTCATGAGACCATCACCTTCCCATTTTAATACTAGAGATGCTTTTTTTCTAGGGGGTGAACCCAGAGGCCCTCCCTGATCTCTCAGGCACAGACAAGGGCTGGCCTCCAGAGTTAAATGAAAAGGCTGCAGATGGAAGAGTAAGGCGTCTTGACTGGGCTGCTAGAGTGCACCAGGATTTCCACCCCATTTCCTTTCCTGCCAGATTAATGGATACTCTTCTAGAGAAAATGAACCAAAACAGGGAAAAGACTTACATTTGGGTATCCCACAATGAAACAGCCTGAAACCTTCCAGTGAGAACTGCCCCTTGGCAGGCTCTGCCTCTGCATACCCAGCTTCTAATGTGTGCTTGCCTCACTCTGACAGGTACTTGGAGACCAAAGACCCCAAACAGTCTGAGAATAGCAGCTAACTTATAAGAGATCAAACCAAACAGAAAAAATGATGTAAGATAAGACATTTGTGGACGCAGACTTAAAAATCCCTAATTGTACCTAACACCACCATTTCCTTTCCATTCTTCTCTGCCTTAAAACCTTTTTGAAACTCTTCTTTTGGAATTAACTTCAAAATCTGTGGCATATTTGGTTTGCTAAACTTAGTGGAGGTAAATGTCTGCTTTGGAACAGTTTTGATTTTCTTCGCTGGCTGAGGTGCTTTGGCTTCCATGGCAGCAGGGTTTCATGGCTTGCTTTTCTCTATTTGAACTGGCCCTTAGAGACTGGGACAGACCATAGCCCAGGAGCTAAACCTGACATGGTATAGTGAGTGGTTGAGTGGTTTTTGTTTTGTTTATTTTTATTTTAATATAATATTTAGCAATTTAATTTCATTTGTTATAGGTAAGCAATGCTAAAAATAAATGAATAACAGAAAAATGTGACTCAGAGAAAAAAGAAAGCATAGATTTATTCCTGTAAAAGATTTGTAATCTGTCTTTGCAGAAAAACAAAATTGCTTCTAAAAGCTCCTGAATTATTCTTTTGGTCATGTGATATGTGCTGTCATTTTATAATATTTCTCTTTTCTTCTCTTTCTTTCCTGTATGTTATCAGTGGAACAAAATCGATTAAACTTTCCTAGTGGGCACATTTTATAATCAAACCTGGTAGATTATATTATCTTTTAGGGTAACTAGAAACATCTCTGTTTGACCACAATAATAGCAGTCTAC